AAGTTTCAGAAAACGCGTTCTCCCGAAAAAGGGCGGATGCGCGCATACGCCTTTGTCCCAAAGAACTCCACGTAACCTGCCGGCGCGGTGGCCGGCGCGGCGACTAGAAGAAAAAATCAGTTGCACCTCATGAAATTTTAGCTCTATTTTCTAGTGACCGCGGTGTTGCGCTGTCTATTATAGTTTGCACCTATAGATGCTTGTCTGAGGGATATTTTCTTGAAAAAGTAGCAGATTTGTCAATTGTTCATGTGGCTCCGTTTTCCTCGTTGGCATAAGATGAGATAGGTTCAGTCAGCAACCGATATCTCCGAAACGCGCCACGCCGCGCTGCGCCTCGTCGCACAGTTTACATTTGATTTGGAACGGCCTATGCGTGAAACTAAATTCGGCGATAGTACAAATATGGGGTTCTCAGGAAGCTAGGTTCGAGTCAAATGTTGCAGTTATAAAAAAACAGAGTCTTATTGCTCAGTAGGAGTAGAGCAGCGAATTCAGATAAATAGCGTCCACACAAGATATGTTTGTTACGCACACAGATTGTCTACAATCAATTTAGCATTGAAAGTAAATGTAAGAATCAAGATGGCGGATCTTCTGTTGCTGTCTAGGAGAGCGCTAACTTATTTGGAGTAGGTACGGTGGAAAATTAATCCTTTTCAAACTGAATAAATTATGATGCCAGCTAACAGGAAATGAGCCACAAGAACTCGCCTACAAGTATGCTAACAACTGGATGAAAATATGGGCTAAATTATGATAGAGCTCGCTCAAATCATGATGAGACAAATGACAGATCTTCTTTCTGGCAGCACTCATCAGTGGTGTTTTCTAAATATAAGTATTGACTTGTTGACTGATGGTACTTCAGGGCTGTTCAAATAATAAAATTAGTCTGAATACACAAAGAGCAAACTCCAGACTGTCACTCTACGATGGGCCTGTTACAAACTTTGGCCAGAGCAAAAATAGGAGTTGTTCCTTATAGATAATGTCTCAAAAATCAAGATGAGTGCATCGGCAAACTCTGAAGACCACTCCCAACTTCACAATCTGCAGAAGAAATTTGCGGTTTTTCAAGCTTTCCGCTTCAAATACTTAGGATACTAAAGCACATTTGAACATTTCGTTAGAGGGGTCGTTCCATTCAATCCCTCCTCAACATCGGCGACACCAGTTGAGGAGAGAACGATGTTGAGGATATCGGCTAAACTGCAGAATCCGACACCCTGCCATTTTGTGTGTAACTTTTGACGCGTTGCCAACCTATGAAAATGAAACGACACTGTAACCGAAAATACTTGAACCTAACCTAACCTAAACTAACCTAACCCAACCCAACCCAACCTGGTCCCATACATCCAAATTTCGCGCCATTACGTGTTTCGGAGATTGGTATTCAAAGGTTGGCAACAGATTGCCAGCCACTAACGGTTTATCAGCTGACGGCGAGAAATACGGTTAGGTGTCGGATTCTGCAATTCATCCAGGATATCTATCAGCATAAGAAAAATGAGAATGTAAACACACCGATTGTTATCGGGTAGTTAGAATCATCGTCCCATCACAAGTGTTTAGGCGGATTGGTGTTGGCTATGTTGAATAGTGCATGGTTTCCTTGTGAGCAGGGGTTGGATGAAATGACTCCTCTAGCGAGATGTTCACCTATGCCACATCTAAATTCTGAAGCAGGAAGCTCAAAACAATACATATTTCTTGCGCAAATTGTGAAGTAAGGAGAGCATTTCAGACTTTGCCGATGCACTCACTGTGATTTGTGAGACACTTTCGATGAGTAACAACTCTTATTTTGGCTCTAGCAAAAGTTTGCAACGGGGGCCCATTGTACACACATTGAACAAAAACTGTGATAAAGTGAGTTACTGACATCATGAGGGTTACAGTATTTGCACCAGAGATTGATAATCGAGTAAAGAGAGAAAAAGGTTTAGAGTAAATTTGTGGGGTCAGGGTTCACCTCCAGATCTTCATACTCTCATAAATTTGGCTGATGAACCACACACGTTCAACTGCTTGTTCGCACACATAGGCACAATTCATTTTCCAGATGGACCAAAGATGGCGGCAAGGTCTTAAAAGTATCATAATTTGGGAGGGTATTGATTATCTAATTAACATAGTCACTGATCTGTTCCGGTAAATGAAAAAGGTTTGGTCAAGACAAAAAACAGCGAGCTTGGGACGGAGGGATCATGGAGGTCTTGCTTACCTTGGATGTAAAGACTTGAGTGATCAATTCGTCACCGATTCAAAGTTAGCATAATAAGGACAAATTAAATGCAAAAACGTTGCATCACAAAGTTGTAAGCACCATACACATGTTGTAAGACAATAAATTATTATAAATATCGTTCACATTGACACTCTGCAAACGCCTAGATATTTTGAAAAACATAACCTCACCCTCACTAGAACAAAAGAAAACACGTTTACCGGAAACGCCGTCTACCGGAAAGGGATTGGTTGAAATTATGGCGGGAAATATGGGCGGGATATTTATGGCGGTAGTTTAAAATGTGCCCGCCAAATTCAATTTGACGGACTTTTTGCGAAAACTATTCTAACGTTTAAAGCAGTTTATTTTGATGTTTCAAGCTAGTTTTCCTCGACAGAAGTCTCTTAATTGACGTTTAAAAGAAAGTAAGATAGAAAATAAATACCATTATGTTTTTAATATGAAATAGATGAGCTCTCTGTGGCCCTAGTATTGAAAGCCCTGTATCTAGGATGTTAGATAAGTCCCCTCTCCTTTTAACTTTTTATCTAAGTAAGAGAAACAATTTAAGACTTTGAAGATTAGGTTCAAAAGGAGCCTATTTTTGACGTCCCTAAATCTTTTTGGGGGCCCCCGTGGGCGGTAACGGACCCAATTTTTTTTTTTTTTTCTAATAGGGAGATTTTCACTGTGATACTTTGTTCAAAAGAACACAAAAAGAAAATTCTCTGCGTAAATCCGAAGTCTGCACCTCAAATCGTTTCAAAATAGCGGCTGGTTAAAGTTCAAAACGGCCGAATATTGGCGCCTCTGTTTTTTTCCAATGGATTTATTCGAAACTCGGTATTTGGGTGGTATACTAATAGATGTAATTAAAACTACTGAAAAAATGTAGCTCAAAATCTTTGACTCGAATTGATATTTTTGAAATACCTGGCCTTAAATTGCTTACCCCGCAAAATAGTGTGAACCTAGCACTATTTTACCACCGTGTTACATACAGTTCGGGCCACATTTTGTATTGTTGATTCCTTGTTAACAAGTAGCACAGATATACACCAACATGAATATAATGTAAAATTAAATGTGAGGGGCTTGGAGGACAAGCATAAGTGGAGTTTTTGAAAAATTGGTTTATTAATGATCTCGCAAGTAAAATTAGTTTCGATGCATTTCCTCTGAAAAATTTGCTCCCAAAATTCAAATATTTCAGCATCAAAAAGTCAGTTTGAACTTCCTTTCTGCCATAAGAATCCGTGTAATTTCGAAACTTCAAAGACGCATTTCTCGAAATGGCAAAACCCGTACATATGCGCCTTGTCCTCCAAGCCCCTTTTATCAGAGGCAGATCCAGCAATTCGGCAACACTGAATTTCCTCCACTTGCAACTATGCCAAATAATTGATCGTTGTCAGAGCTCTTGGTCCCTCCAAGAATCGATACATTTCCATAGGTTTAAATGGAGAAAAGACAATGTTGCCAATTTGCTGGGCCCGCCAATACCGTATACGATGTAATGCGTTATTAATTACATTCAGACAATGTAAAATTTTGTATCAGAATATTATTTTTAAAATTAAGCTGGAAAAAAAATCACCACCCTACCATTTTCCGATCGAAAAAAGGATGAGAAAATTTGCTGCTCAGAGCAGGTCCCCTACAACAATGCTCCAAGCCCACTGCATCCATTGTTTTGCCCGTTACAACAAGTCGACCCACAGTGCGCCGCGGCCGTTGGAGGCGGGCGCTCAGCGTGGGGGAAAACCGGCGCACGGCCCGGTGTTGTAACAAGTCTGTGTCTCACTCCCTCCTATCGCCTGACTCCGCCGTCATCTCACTCTTACATTATTTCCACTCCCGCTCAACAGATAGAGCTAGTTCTTTCACGGTAAACCGAGTCTAATTTAACAAAATTTACAGCGGTTTTATGATTAAATTCGCTGAAAGAATTTACGTCACAGGAAGATGATTTTTCAGCGCATTTTTTGGATAACGGTTCTAGTTGCTGCTGAATTTGAGGCTGAGGGTAAGACGCTGTGAAACAGCCACCCGCGTGAATTTTTATTGAATTCGAATTAACCGGACCCCTAGGATGGCGTACGATCGGTATCGCTTCTCGGCCTTAATGGCTAAGATCAAAGTGTAGTATCTGTTCTTATCAGCTTAATATCTGATACGACCCGCACTGCGGGTCCAGTATATTAAACTTATTTTTGGAAACAGGCGGAGTGTTAGGGGCTTGCTCCACCTCTGCCACGGATCGGCCCGGTATTGCAGTACCGCCGGGATCGGTCCAATAACCAATTCCAGTTCCCTCAGTTAGATGTGCTTAATCTAATAAGTACGGTGCATCATGTAAATAGCTGCATCAGGCATTTCATTATATGCACAGGCAGATAGTCAAACTGCGATCGTTTACAGAAACTGGTATTCTTTTGACGAGGAACTATTAAGGTGATTCGATGGACGCCATATTTTGTGTCAGAAAGGCATGCGATATATAGCATCCATTGGTTCCATTTTTTCAGCTACTCGTCATTTTTTTCCAATTTTGAGATCGCAATTCTGTTGTCAGGAGACTATAACACTCACTTACCAATACCTTCAACGTAATAGAGGCGTGGTTTTTTTAGAGAGAAAATATCGCATTCGAGTGCAGTTTCGATATCAGTATCGAATGCGATGTTTTCTCTTTAAAAAAGCCACGCCTTTAGTACGTTGAATTTCTTTGTTGAAATTGGTAAGTGAGCGCTTTAGTCTCCTGACGACAGATTTGCGATCTCAAAATTGGAGAAAAATTACGCATAGCTGAAAAAATGGAACCAATTGATGCGATATGTCGCATGCCGTGCTGACACAAAATACGGCGTCCATCGAACCACCTTAAGTTTTCATCGTTCTGAAAGTGATAATTCATCAAAACTACCAACTTCTCCTGTATTTTGCCCTCCAAATGGTCCTCATACATTTTGACTTTCAGACTTTAAAAAGTCGGTTTATGACATGCTGAAAATTCTGCGATGAAAGCTCCTTAAAGGACTAGATTTAATTTAGTTACAATCGCATGATGCCAATTTTTACAAATGCTCCTTATCAACTTGAGAGAATAATTATTTTGTCTAAAATTAGCAAAAGAATCAGAATTTCAATCCGAGTAAGATTATTTGACTATTTGCCTAGGCATTTGATAAAATGCCTGCTTTGACTATTTGCCTGCGACGTATATAAATCCTATTTTCTAAATTTTACAGTAGATATTCGATTTAATATTTGTTTAGCCGAAACGGAACTACGGAATCTCTTCATTGTTCAATTTCAGGAAAATTTCCCATTAGTTTCCTCAGTAAAATTTAAGTAGAGGGCAAATATTCTGGTTCACCGCAACTAAGAAGTGTCCTCCCTGCATGCACAAAATACCTCAATTTTTACTACATGATCACATACCAAAAATCATGGATCTTCAGAAATAGCCCAGAAAAATTGAAAATTTGAGACTTCGGGTACTTACAGTGGTGTAGGTGAGTTTATATCAAGATAAAGGAAATACTTGTAACAAAAATCATTGTGTGAGGCATGAATCTGTGTGTGAGCATTATCTTGATGGGCGTTAATTACTTGGTCATCAGCAAATAAAAAGTGCTTCTTTATCATTCAGAGGGGCACCCATTCCGGAGGGTCCTTGATTGGGTTCCTGCTGAGGTTCAGTCATACGATCAAATTGAGCCATCAAACTGAAGCTCTGATTGGTGGAAAAAGACCGGAGCTGAGGATGCGACCAATGAGAGGCCCAATTTGATGGCTCAATTTGATCGTGTAACTGGACCTCTAGGAGAAGGCGCATAGGGTGCCCAATAAAGGCCTACATACAAACGGCGATTAATCGCCGTGAGTGAAAGGCGAAAGCCAATGGAGAGCCTTGATTTCGATATATCGACGTCAATGTATCGAAATCAAGGCTCACCATTGGCTTTTGTCTTTCACTCGCGGCGATTGATCGCCGTGTGTATCTAGGCCTTGAGAGGTTGGAGGGGTGGGATTGAGGCAGAATAATGTTACGGTACTCGATGCCCGAAGGGTTGTGGTTCGACAGGGAGTAGTGGAAGTTAGGTGTTTAAAAGCGCCAGAGAGTGCTATAAAGCGACTTATATGTATGTATGAAAATATGAGCATTTGTTTCTGTATGAAAAAATAAAATTTCGTCATCCCTTTCGTATGTTCTACAATTTTAACGGACGTGTGATTTTTACTCGAAATGTACCTAAAATTTACGCTCTCGGCATCAACAAAAATCATCAACATTCAACAGGCATCAAAGGTTAGGCATCAACATCAATGTTCATGAGTAAACTGAGCGTCAATGTAAGCACCGATCACCGCATCAATTCAATCTTATTATGTGCGTAGATGGTAAAATTATGTAGCATAGAAACTCTGCCGTGCTAAGGAAGAACGTCGTATAAAAATTCGAGAGTTGCCAAATTTCCTCCGATAAAACATGTATTTTTGACAACATGTATGCACATTTTCTTTTGAAATTTCCATATATTTTAAATTGAATTGCGCACGAAATTGTCAGAGAATTTTGGAAAATAATATTCCAAACTTTCCCAGTCCATTCGGTTTTTATTGAAAGAAACTTGGCAACGTCAGAAGGCTCATATTCGGCGTTCTTCCTTAGCACGGCAGAACTGACAAGTAATTCCTCTAACTGTATTTCATTGAATAATGTTACCCGTTGGTAGGCAATGACGGTGCAGAGGGCGTCAGACGTAATTTTTTGTAATTCCGGTTAACACTGCATTTTTGCCGGTCATCCTTTCGGTGACGCCATGGAAATTTAATGTTCATGTTAAGTTACTCGATGGCGGGTCAGATGCTTAGGACGTTTGGAGAGTTAAGTAATTAACTAGCACGGAGTTGATATTGGTTCTACGATTTCCAGGCCCGCCACATCCCATCTCGGGCCCTGGTACCAGTTTTAAGGTCCGGGCCCCAAGCATGGAGGGGGGGGGGTCCGAGGGGCATCCCCCGAGAAATTTTAGAATTTATACGACTAATCGGACGCATTTTGAAGCTTCCATAAAGAATTTTTCCATCCCCCTTCGTTTGTCTATGGCAAGGGAGTTGAGCTATGAGCCATTGAAGTCGAGGATGCCCAGACTGGAGACTCTTAGCAT